TGATTATGGTATTTGCAAAAATTAGCCTTTGTGGGTTGAAATTGATGCAACTAGACATTATTTCCCATGTGCACAACTAGTGATGAGCAATGTTTTTTATATTTTCTTGTTTTAACAGGGTACAGATTGTCAGAGAGAATGTACACACTTCTTATAACAAAGTTTGATCGCAGTGACAAGGGCTCAATCAATTTTGATGATTTCATCCAGTGTTGTCTAATATTACAGGTATTGAATAAAGTTATTATTCAATTTGTCACAAGTATGGGACAAAGAAAACTTCTGAGTCCCTCAAATGCAACAGACTCCCAGAATTTTGGGTTTTGGTTCCCAGTGCAGTACCACTGAGCTTCAGAAGACTTGTTGATGAGCTTGGCCAGCACTGGGTGTGTATGTGACAAGCGTCCTGCTTAACAATTGGTTCATGCTCTCGTGTGCATCCCTTTGAACTTCAGTCGTATAATAAATCTCTTATTAACCAAGCTTGCTCGGGACCGTACTGGAAGAATATCGGCCCTCTGTCTTTTTTGTACAGACCTAGCTGCGCTCAGTCTGTACTGTCAAGACCTCGGGCTGATATTCTCCCAGTATGGCCCTCGTGCTTGGTTAATAAGATATACATATTTACATCTCCACTTGCAGATATGAATTTATTTCATAGAGTTGACAATATCTCTCAATTAAGCCTGTCCTTTGCTCACTCGCAAGAGATATCACAAACACTCCAAGATCAAATTTGTATCCACACATGTCCATGTAATATCCTCTATTTAATTTACACTTCTGTTTGTCTCTAAGGTGGCTGCTTCAAAGGCCAATTTGAAAGATTTGCACTGGCTGAAGGAGAGACAGAACTATAACCTGAAAAAAAAAAAATTAAAAACATCAAGTAAAAAAATAATTGCTAACAAGAGAATCTATTGGGCTTTCAAAGAACAATAGAATTTATGTTCTCAGACATAAATCTGTTTTGGGCCAGACTCTTGAGTTATTTTAGCCTGAGCTGCTTGGCAAGGGTTAAAATGACTTTGAGAAGGGCCAAAAACAGATCTATTCCCAAGAACATAAATTGTATTACAGTAACTATTAGCATCACTTTGGATGACATATATTAAAAAGATAGTGAAAAATGACTACAAAACAGTCTTAACAATCCTGCAAGCACGCGAGTGGGCTAAAAGCCAAAATCCCCTATTTAGCCTGCAAAATGGGCCACAATGTGTGCCAAAGTGATGGCAATAAAGGGCTTTATTATGGAGTAAATAGAAACTTTCAACAAACTGACTTTCCCCATTTAAATGAGAACTTATCCCTTTCAATCCCAGAGCTGTTTTACATGAAAACTGGCATATCAAGACCTTGCCCACAAACATGTACAATACTGACCAACAGTATGGAGTACAGCACGAAAAAATTTCAGAGCTGATTGGTAAGGAAAGGATCACTAAGCCACAGGCACCCCAAGCTCACTACCAGAAAAGTGGATGTGACTCTTACAGTGTTGCACAACATCTCATATTTATAAAGGTTTGTATGGGATGTTATCATTTTGCCTTAAAAGAGAGAAAATAATGTCTTGTTTTGAAATAAAATGGACTTACCTTATTGTCTTGTTGTTTTCTTTGTTGATTACCAGTGTCTCAGGCCATTTTGAAGCATTTTCAGCGAGTTAGCGATATTTTGGTGTCCAACTGCTAAAAGAAAGACAAGGCAGGAAACTCACTTTAGAAGTGTCCATTGCCCGAAGTGAATAATTCTGCCAAAAAATTACTACTAGTCTCGATTCCTCCAGAAAATCAAAGCAGAGATGTTGCAGTTCCATTTCCATTCACTCAATTCCTAATTCCTCCCACAGATCTTTCACTAGCGATGCTTTTATCTCCAGCTCGATAGGCTTTCCAATTTCGAATTAGGCTTGTTGAAACAATGGTGGCCCGTTCGCCTATCGCATAGTATGTCGGGTAACAAAAATAAGCCTAGCGAGGGTAGCCACAGCGGCCTGCAGTCGACAAACAAACCAGTTAGCTCCCCTGGTCCCTCCAGGCCGCTGGCTACCCTCGCCGTGCTTATCTTTGTTACCTGACATACTACTCAATTGACGAACGGGTCCACGATCGTTTCAATGAGACTAATTCGAAATTGGAAAGCCTATCGAGCTGGAGATAAAAGCATCGCTAGTGAAAGATCTGTGGGAGGAATTGGGAATCGAGTGAATGAAAATGGAACTGCAACATCTCTGCTTTGATTTTCTGGAGGAATCGAGACTGGTAGTAATTTTTTGGTGGAATTATTCGCTTTGGGCGACAGACACTTCTAAAATGAGTTTCCTGCCTTGTCTTTATTTTAGCAGTTAAACACCAAAATAGCGCCAACTTGCCGAAAATGCTTCAAAATGGCCTGAGACGCTGGTAATCAACAAAGAAAACAACAAGACAATAAGGTAAGTCCATTTTATTTCAAAACAAGACATTTTTTTCTCTCTTTTAAGGCAAACCGATAACATCCCATACCAACCTTTAAAAGTATAAGACGTTGCACAACACTGTAAGAGTCATGTCTGCTTTTCTAGTAGTGAGCTTGGGCTGCCTGTGACTAACATGATCAATTTTATGAACCAAAACTTAGGAACATACAGATTAAGGATGTTTTTAATGAGTCAGCCAATTGCAACTAGCATCTGAGGTAAAGGAAAAGCTGCAAATTAAATCTGCCAATAAACTTTGCATTGACATCAAGTCAAAACGTACTTAGCACACAGCTAGATGACAATTACATTTCCTGATAATGTCCTTTGATTTAAGAAGTTTACCTCCCCGCCCCCACCCACCCAAAAAAAAGAAAGAAAAAAAAAATGATATTACACCTGGTTACTAGGTTGTGCTATGAAAACTCAACTTTTCATTGGGGGAGGGAAGGGTGTGGTAAACTCAAATGAAATCATGCAGGAAAAAATGTAAGTACTGTAAAAGCCCACATATAAGCCGCACTTTTTTCCGTTGCTAGAAATTGGGGGTGCTCATCTGCGGGAACATTTGAAAAAGGTGTCGTGAATGTCAACGTCAATTTCCATTTTCACATCCAATCTAATGCCTGGTCACTAAACTAAGCTTCAAATGTTCTGCTCACGTTCTTGTAAAGCAAAAACCTATGGAAAAACTGTGTTGAAATTCCCGTCCAAAAATACCAGAAAAAGGCCAATCATATGTCAAAGTTGGTAGAAACCATGTTCATTATATTAAAGTGCTAAAATTGTGGGTAAGACTTTGAAGTATTTTCCGTTGCAATGTTAATATTGAGTTTACGTTCAATGAACAGTGGATGAAGATGACTTTTCAAGACTCGACTTTAGATTTCTTTTGATTTCTTTCAAAAAACTTTTTTTCCAAAATTTGAGCTTCTAAATTTATGGTGCAGCTTATCTCCGGGCTTTTACAGTAATCAAGACTTAACCATGCACTCCAGGGCTGTAGCCAGATTTCAGGACAAGACGAGCCAATTTTTTAGCGCCGAAGGCATGAGCTGTTAGAGGGGTCTGGGGGGCATGCCCCCCAGAAAACTTTGAAATCTAGAGGTTTAGAAATGCTCTTTTAAGGATTTTCCGTGGCATTTTTCTTCAGAAAAGTCAATCTTTCAGAAAAAAATTTAAAAAGGCCAAAATTAAAACGAGGCAATTGCCTCGTCTTGCCTCATGCTAGCTACGACCCTGCACTCTCTATAGAGAAGCATGGAAAAAAATCACAACTTGAACCTACATAAAGGCCACTTATATTAATCCAAAGAAACTATAGGTTAATGCTAGAACAGTTTGCTGTTAGTGGTAAACTAGGTCACAAAATATACTACTAAAGAATGTTTCACTCACCACTTGTACCATGTGATTTGCTCCCCTGGAAACTTGACAAAGTTTCATGCAAATGCTGCCTCTCACGATCCTGTAAATTAAAACCAAATCAAGAACATCAATTATCACATTTTCAAAGTTTTCTTCATATCTGTATTTAAGTTCTTGAAAATCAAAATTCCCTTGAAAAAGCTACTTTACGAGTCTACTCAAAATGTCTACCTTCTTAGCTACATGCATGTTAAAATATCTTAACATCATCATTTTCTCCATTTTATGGTCTTAAGATATGTTTCATCTGATAAATCCTGAAAAGCTATTAATATTTTGAGATCCCCTCCATTATAAAAGTGGGAATGCAAATTAGAATCTGATTGTTTCAACAGCTCCCATATGCTACTTAAAAAATAAAACTGTTAGGTACAGATTTCTAGGTCTGCTTTTTTCATGATAACTTACAGACTAGTTAAAGATGTTTTTTATGAAACTGCAAAAAAAAAAAATATATATTGCAACCTTATTTGTACTCTCATTCCCATCCATATATTTTTCCCTATTCTGCAGTGAAAAACAGTCGCATATTTCCCCTTATTATTCTTTAGCCCTAATACTGTAACATGGCATGATCTAAACAATCTTAGCTATTTCATGCTATGGCCACCATGATAAGTTCGAGAAGATATACCAGGCAGCTGCAGTCTCCTCTGCAGACTTTTCCTTTCATTATTACCTTGCTGCTTTTGATTTCCGCAATGGCTGTAAGGATTTGTTGTCTGGCATCCTTCCTTGTTACTCCAAGTTCACTTAGATCTCCATCACTCAAGGTTAGAAATGACTCCATGTCAACCTACCAACAGTAGTTCGTAACAATTTTTCACAACAACATGACTTGAGCTTAAACTACATAGACAACAACAAAATAGTAGTAATAATAATAATAATAATAATTATCTTAAGGCACATTTTTTATATCCTTATATATGAGTAACATATTAAAATAATTATGTGCCATTTGCAGCCTGAGTGGCACCAAAAATTGAACAAATTTATAATTTTTAAGGCTAAAAGGTTATTCATTGATAACAGCAGCCAAGAATTTAGTGCTTGTCTCACAATGAAGTCAATTTCGAGTCTATTACAACTTGGGCTTCATTTAAGCTGTGAGTTTGGTTTACATGCTGAAAATCAATAATTAACTTTATACCTATCACAAGAGTTAAAATTTGTATTTTAGCACCTTTTTAAAACAGATTTTCAAAGGTCAGCTGTTTAAAGCTACAACAGTTAGTTTCCTAAATACCTCTTGTTCCTCAAAAATTGGTTGGTACTTCTCCAATGATAATTTATTTAGCAAATTTTCTACATCACCTGAAACAAATATGATATGATGATGAAACAAAATTTTTAACCGTGACATTCCACTATCAGCTGTAACCCCAACCCAGCTGTTAAAGGTTTCATTCTATTGTATGTTGGTGTATGCAAAAGACTGTCAAAAAATAGTAAAAAAATCTCAGAGATCTTAGCAGATCCCTCACAAGAAAATATCAAAACACCAACAGCAAGCAAAAGAAATTACCCAACATAGCTAACTTTTTAGATCTTTATTAAAAAATACAAATATTAAAAATAATGTACCTTCACTATGGTTGAATGTATCTCTATGGGAATAATGATCTCTTGCATAAGATGAAAATGATCTGCTTGTATCATCAGCATGGCCTTGAAGAGAAGAATAACTTAATTCTTTACGCAAAGTTATTCTCTCAACTGGCGCTGATCTGACTGTCATGACAGTTGGGGTTGGACTGGCAGCCGTTCCCCTCCCTGCTTTGTGCCAAAGTGACGATGACATGGCAGACATAGGGCTAAATGACAAGTCAACAGCAGGACTAATTGCCTTTAGTGTCCTGTCAAAAAGAAAAATAATTAAATATAAATAAGCAGTCTGAAACCTCATGTGGCTACTGATACAGAACAATTATTATAGCACTGAACAAAAAAATAAAGGCTGTGTAATGATGCTAGAAAGTAGTCTTGCAGAAGATTTGTATTCACATGCAAAACAGAAAACTTGCCACATTGTCCATGTAATTAATTGAAGCTACCTCAGCCTCACGACAATGCTGGTAAGCAGTGAGATGTAATATACCTATTGGCAACTTGTATGACTATGCAGGCCATGGCTGGCCAGGGGCTGTTGAGGTTTCTTATCTCCCCTGCAGATGTCGAGTAAATTTGATCACCTTGCATTAAACATGCCTGTGAGTTTCTGCTCCCCTTCACTCCTGACCCTTTGGTCAATACATGTAGTCCTCCACTGATTTACAGAGTAGTGCTACCTGGATGGATGACGCTCAAAGGGTTGTTACCTACTACATCTGATGTAGTTCTTCTTGGAGGTGCATCACAAGGAAAAAGCAATCTCCCTGTAATATTACATTCCTAATTGGAATGCAAGTCTCGACACTTTTTGATAACAGTCAATGTAACCCCAATCCCTTAAGCTGGAATTATATCTTTTTTATGGGTCCAGCATTTGCTAACCTTGATTCTGAGTTGTTGGATGCTGATGAGTAAAAGCTTGCTGTGGAATATGAGGATTCTGGACTTCCAGTAAAGTTCTTACTTTTCACCAATGTTGGAGACATGAGTGACTTATAGGCTGGATATGCACTGACACTGCTCTGAAAAGGCAAAGTTAGAGGTGCATTAAAAACAATATTCCTTTCTAAAGCTAAGGCCGAACCCAAAACTTATGACTGAAACCCAACCATGCTTCAACACCAAGACTATCTTAGGAAATGTCCCCCTTACATTGTCACATCCCAAACAAATATGTGAATGTAACCTTGGCAGCTACTTAAAAACTCTTCAGCAGGCTAAATGGTACATTTGAATGTTAAAGAGATATAACTTATTTCTCCACCAGTTTTATACAACACTATTTAAAAGTTTCTGTACAATTTTCTCTTTCCATACAAATGTAACCAAAATTTAGGGTAAAATTTTAATTGAAAACTGATATTTAAAGTAACATTTAATCACCAGTCACAAGGTTGAAAAAGATATGTTATCTTTGTATTGGATCACTAGTATACTTTAAATTCAGACTTTTCAGAGTGATAGCTTTACATTTTAGGTTATCAACCACATGCTGCTTATAAATGACTGCTGGACCTAAAATATTACAACATTTAATAGACACTACTATTACAAGTTTTATTAGAAGTTCTAGGGCTCATATCCTTTTTCAAAAAAAAATTCAAAGACTTTTCCAGGACTTTTCCAGGACTCAGACTGATTTTTCCAGGACTCCAAATTTCACCTAAGACTCTTTCATTCCCAAGATTTTGCAGTCAGTTCTCCTTATGGTCTACATACATGTCATATACTGTCAACATAAAATCTGAAAACTTCATTGCTCAAGTTCAGAAGATTTCCAGGACTTTCCAGGACCTATCAGTAGTCCTTTTCCAGGAATTTCTGGTCCTGATTAAAGTAAAAAATAAAATTCCAGGAATTTCCAGGTTTTCCAGAACCAGTGCACACCCTGAAGTATACACTGATCACAAAAATATTAAACCTAAAAGCCTTATTTGCTTTAATTTTGCCAAAGTTTCCTTTACCAAAATAAGCCAGAATCAATACAATAACAGTAAAACATGAGAATTCATATGTCTGAGTGCATTTAATTTCACAGAAACTAGTTCAAAGTTAAATAGATTTAAAATGTTAGGAATTAATGAGAAAAAGATTACAATGTTATCCAGATCATCTTCAAAATACTTTTCATGGGCATCTGGAATGGATTCACCATTAATACAAAGACTGGGTACCTGAATGAAAAAAACAGCGACATTTAACATGACAACAAAAAATATGTCTAACTTTAAATTCTTAGCATTTTTTTGTTATAATAATTTATCTATTACTAACACGAATTTGGTTATCTCATTTGTTGCAGACAGGGATGCTGAGTAAACATGAGAAATCTAAGTGGACCTACTACACTTACAAACCAAAGTCTATTGTCTTGGACCTTAACCATTTACAAGTCAGAGTGTCTATCCTGCTGGACCATATCCAATTAAAAGACAGAAGGTCTATCCTGCTGGACCTTATCCACTCCCAAGCCAGAAGGTCCATCCCGCAGGACCTTAGAGCGCTGTATCTACATAGAAGCCAAAGAGCCCCTCCTACTGCACCTTGTACACTCACAAGGCAGATGGAACATCCTGCTGGACCATATTCATTTATGACCTAAAGGGTCCATTCTTCTAGACCTTAATATCCAGATTTCAGTGGCATGAAGGAAAATGAAGCATTGCTTCACCCCCCTGGCCTGGATGTCAGTCCATCCAGGATTATCACAAAAAATTTCATCAGGTTCTCCTGACTGTTTCCTTTACTCATTTATACTCCTAGGTGGAGAGAGGCACTTTCACAACCAACTGTCTTGCCAAAAACACAACATAGTGACCAGACCAAGGCTCAAACTCACAGATTTATACTCCTAGGTGGAGAGAGGCACTTTCACAACCAATTGTCTTGCCAAAAACACAACATAGTGACCAGACCAAGGCTCAAACTCACAGATTTATACTCCTAGGTGGAGAGAGGCACTTTCACAACCAATTGTCTTGCCAAAAACACAACATAGTGACCAGACCAAGGCTCAAACTCACAGATTTATACTCCTAGGTGGAGAGAGGCACTTTCACAACCAATTGTCTTGCCAAAAACACAACATAGTGACCAGACCAAGGCTCAAACTCACAGATTTATACTCCTAGGTGGAGAGAGGCACTTTCACAACCAATTGTCTTGCCAAAAACACAACATAGTGACCAGACCAAGGCTCAAACTCACAGATTTATACTCCTAGGTGGAGAGAGGCACTTTCACAACCAATTGTCTTGCCAAAAACACAACATAGTGACCAGACCACGGCTCAAACTCACAGATTTCCATCAATGTCCAAAGAGCTCAATACTAGGCCACTACGCCTGTCCTGGCCCTTGAAATAATATCAATTAATTATGTAACTGCTTGTTGCACATTGCCTTACTTAATTTACGGATTCATTTCTCATTCAAAATTACAAGTTCTTTTAATCATGCGTGCATATATTATAAAAATTCAAACTTTTCAGCATCTCTTTCTAATATCCTCATGATTTTTTTAATTGATTACTGGATTTAAGTATCTTAAACTATCTTTTAGCTGAGCTTACCGGTGTAGAAATAGCATTTTAGTGCAATTTAATTTTACCTCACAGATTAGCTTGCAATGTTGCACGTTGATAGCAATACTTGAGCAGGTTTTTGGACAAATGCTGATAAAATGCACTTACAGGCCTTTCAGGTAAAGATGGATCATCCAGAGTGTTACTGTGCTGCTGCCGTTGTATTCTGGGTAATTCAAATGTGGGGGAAGGAAAAATTGGAGGCAAAACAGGACTGATGACATCATCTGTCAGTTTGTTGCTATGCGACACAAGTGCCTAGAAAACAATTGCATACATCTTTCATTGACATTGTCGCAAACATCAATTCTGATGAATCATTTTCACAATTATGCAACACAAAAATCTGATTTAAGTCCCAGTGTCTAGCTCTTTGGAAAAAAATGTGCTAGTATGGTGTAGACTGAAACCTTTTAATAAATTCTGCATTTGTCCAACTTGGTGCACTCTTTATCGGAAATGTCCATTCCGTTGGTGGCTTTTAATCAATTAAGGGTAGTGTTTTTTAATTTGAGGGCATCATTGAATTAAATAAGTATGGTACTCTTTCTTACAGAATACTAAACTACTAGATTTAATGCACACTTCTCTTAAATCAAAAGCCACTGCTAGAAATGACAGTTGGAAGGCTTTTTTGGCATTTACTACACAAACAAACACAGAGTGAATAACTTGATATCAGATCTCACCAGTGTGGGTGGTCTTTTCTGATTAAGCTGTGTGCCTTTCAACCCAGATTCCATAATAACTGATGAATAACATAAAAACTGTACGTTAACAGCAAAAATATATAGACACATGTTAGTGACACACCAGGTGTCACTCGGGTATTCAAAGCAGGTATTTAAAGCAAGTAAAGTGATGGTGAGAAATACAGCCTTCTTTCACTATATACAGATCCTTCAAAAAACAGTCAGCAACGACACTAAGAGGCAAGATTTTCATTTCAAAGAATTAAGCCATTATAACACCAAACAGATCAGTCATTATGCATAGCAAAATATCTGATGTTCCTATCTTCCAGTGAACTTTGTTACTAAAACTTGACAAGATTTGCACTGAGAATCCTTATCCAGTTGACTTTTAATTCAAAGGTCATTTAGCAGCAAGAATAACTGACGGTAAAGTTACAACAGAGGTGAATAGAGAGCAATAAAAACATTGCTGCACTAACCTGAATCCAGTGACTTCAAAGTAATTGCGGAACCATCACTAACATGACTGAATGAAGACCCCTGACCAGAGTCACTATCAAATAGGCTCTCCATACTATTTGAGGCAGGTGATATGCGCAGCTTACTGCCTGATGAAGACACTTTGAGAGTGCGCTTGATATTAAGGTGCCGAAATCTGCTGGACATTTTAGACCACCAGTTCTAAGGAAAAAAATAATTTTTAATGCTGGGACATTTGTATTAGCAAAGGCTACACTTTAAAAAGTGTGCCCTAGCAGCTTGACTTACCCCTGTCTGATGTGTGTCATGGTCAAAATGAAGAAAAGGCAGATCGTTTTGGCAGGTGACTGAATTATTCAACAAGCAAGTAAAGTCAGTTCTCATTTAACAGCCCTTTCTCTTCCTTAACCAAGCCATTAATAACCATTTGCTTTTCAGTCAAATACCTTTTAAAAAACTCTCCTTGCGTAACCAATTCTCCACAACCAATTTCAAATAATGTTTTAAATGTTCTATGCTGGTTTTACTTGAGGTTAGTTTCACACTATNNNNGTCACAGGGTGCCATTTAAACCAGCTATTAGCTGAACTGGGCTACCCTGTCTAAATATTCATAAATAAATAAATAAGTTTGGCACTGTAGAGTTTCTAAAGCCGACAGTTCTCCTTAGTATTATTACTCAGTCAGGGTGAGAAATGGCTCATGCTTCAGACATCAGCTTTAAAAACTCTTCATGGCGGCAAATTCACATTATCCAATCCACTGGATCATGGTTAGTTTTACTTGTGAGATCCCACTTGAGATCTACACACCAGATCACCATTGTATCTAGATTACAGATATCATACCTTCCTTCCAGTATCTGTAGTGAAGTCACTGAAAGAAGATAAAAGAACATCTTGTTCATAAGAAAATATAAAAAGAGCCTATATGTGCAGTTACAATTGTCATGAGCTACTCATTAGAACCTTGGATCAGCTATATATTTGTAGTTTTACTTTTATTAGTAATCCAACAGTTTAAGCGTGACAGAAAATAACTACCTTGTATCAGATTTAAAAAAAGGCTGTGACTTTTCACCCAAATATATTTGCATATGGCCCATAAATCAATTGCATATTTAACTTTCCAAGAACTTTTACTTTCTATGCCAATCTTAACTTTTTGTTGATGAGATGATAAGAGAATTGTACTTCGTGTACTGTCTTCAACACCAGTTATGTTCTTCTCTTCTATTTGGAAATAATTGAAACAGGACTGCATGCTTATTGTTAAATTTAAACCTCTTTTTTACTCCATATGTGGTTTTGCTCGAAACTATTAAGATACTCACAAGTTAACTCACCTCTCCATATTAGCTACACCTTTGTTCATTTCATAGACAGGCCCCTTTCCATCCCCCTTCCCCTTTCTTCCATACAAATTTGATGAGCTGTAATCTAGTTACAAAAGTATTTGTGTGAAGTTTATACAAAGTAACTTTGATTCAAACATTATCCTAGAAAAGAAGACTTGGAATGATTTTTTCTTTACGAAGAAACACATGGTTGATATCCATTCTTCAAAAGAAAATGTAACAAATTTACTTTTGTCCGGATGATTATAGAAACCAATTGTGAGCATCATCCTCTTGAAAGAGCTACTTAGGGTTGCTCTAAAATGCTGGTTTTTTTTTTTATCTTGACAGAGGGAGTCATAAAGGCCACCAGAGGTACACCAGGATCCCCCTTAACCACACCCATAAGCCTTCCATTGTGTTTCAATCAAACTCAGAACATCAGAAATGGTGTCATTGAAATGTATTTACTACTTCTAGATCTGGCAATAACAATTTATAGTTAATTGTTAAAAAGGATTACAAAATACTTACAACGTTTTGGCGTATGCATGCTCACAGAAGCTAAAAGACGCAAGATTTCTGTATCACCTGGAAGACAACCATCATCATTACAATCAGAATTACATCAGAATTGAAACATGCAGTTTGAAGATAGATTCTAGCCTGAGCAATATATATACTTGCCTGTGAGTATTGCAAACCATGCTTGAATTAGCTATAGCCTCTATATGTATCCCTATGGTTACTTGACATAAACACAGATACTAGTATCTTGTCATAAGGCTCTTTGGGGGGGAAGATGTTAATTAATTTACCTAGTGTTAAGAACTCTGCATTCCCAAACAAGAGTTCTCCATTCAAGTCCTGGTAAGGATAATTATGCTGTGCTCTAATCTTTAGCACAACACTTCACTCTCACTGATAGAACCTCTTGCCTGCACGCAGTAGTAAAATGGACATTAATTATATTGGTCCTGCAGTGAGCAGCCAGCAGAGACACCCTTAATTTCCTTTGTAACCCAGATGAGAGATATTAAATAAGTTTCTTCCAGCAGCATCACCCCTGAATCAAACATTGTTGCATTGTTTCATTATCCCTGGGAGTACCATAGGAAACACAATAAACATAATGAAGAACTTGCATACGTATACTGATGTTAACAAAAGGTTAACACTTGCTGTTACTTCATACTGTTAACTATTAGGGTGCTGACAAAGAAAATTTGTTTAACAATCAAAAGCTTCTTTAATTAATTAATTGGTGATCATTTCCTTTGTTCTGATGACCTTACTGGGTGATTCAGGGCTGACATCGTAAGAAGAAATTAGATGCTCGTCACTCTTAGCAGTTAGAGGGTTAATAAGCATCTCATCCAGATGGAGCAACAATATTCCTTAGCTTGTTGCTTCAGGATACAGGAAACAGAACCAGAGACAGAACCTAAACCTGAACCAGGACAATCGGTAAACTACCACGTGAGAGACACAACCTATCCAAATTCTGGCTTGTGCCATTTTTTTTTTTTTACATATGACATCACTGGTTTGCATACATGAACACAGCTGATAACTTGCCAGTAAACTCTATATGCAAACTTGTGATAGTTATAGTTCTTTCCCCGTGCTCACATAAAAATTAAATTATCGAAGAGTAAATGAATCCCTAGTAAGCTCTCCCAGTGTTTACCACACTCACCTATAACGGTAGCCATGTCAAAAGCAGTGCAGCCATTTTTTTCCTGAATATTCACATTGGCTCCAGCATCAATCAGTAGCTTAGCAACAGCTCTATGCCTAAAAAGGTAACAAAAATGCCTCATGAATGAACAAGTGCCATAATATAAAGTTGCAATATTTTTATCAGTTTTTATTTTCAAGAGCTGATCTTTACAGGCAAGAGGGTTTTAAAATAGTGTGCACAAGAATTTCTTTATCTTTAGGAAATTATGAGCCCTTGAGTTACATGAGCCAGCAATATTTCTCTATGAGTGGGTTACTTTAAGTATTTAAATGTGTCTCAAACTATGAGCCTTCATGACATTTTCCACACACATCGACATTAGATAATATAAATCAATTTCTGAGGTTGAGGATGAGGATGGTCTAGTTGACAGTTTTGCTAAACAACTACTTCACTTGATTTGAGAGTGGCCTTCAAGCCCTGATTACTAATCAATTCTATTTTATCATAACACAAAAACTGTTCTGAAGTATATCAGCCCTTTTCAATAGACAGCAATTTTTGGTGGATGTCCAACCAATCAAATTGCCAATCAAATAACAAGATAAAAATTAAAGTCTCCCAAATTAATCATGTCACTAAAGTATATACTGCTTCATTTCAGTTTGGAGTTGGTTTGCAAAGATTCTCATCAGCCAGTAACCTTCATATCAGTTATTGAAAAATAGTTATAGACTCACCCATAGTAAGTTGCTTGCATCAATGCTGTCCATCCACTGGCCTTGTCTTGCTTGTCAATGTCAGCCCCATTTTGTATCAGTAACTGTACAGATGGAAGGTGTCCACCCATTGCAGCATACATCAGGGGAGTAGCTCCATCATCATCTAATTATAAAATGAGCCACAAGAAACAAGAAATTCAAAGGGAATTAATTTAGAAATCACATATTTGGAGGCAACACAGAAATAGCTTATAGCTTGAAGCCAAAAAAAACTTGGAGCACCATAATCTCATCACTGAACCTTCCAAGCTAGGATGGGTCTGCATTTTGAATTCCAAATTTCATTACAACCACTCACAAAGCATGTAAATAGTTTTAACTATATTATATTTTCATGGGAGTTATAGAGCTTCAAATTAAGCTGATTTTCTCAAGCTGGCTATATTAATATTTTGGCTTCTGCTTTAAATAGTTCATTTATATCTTATGATGTTTATTTCTGGCTGCACAATTTAAAATCTAAACCTCATTATAATAGCTTTAAAATTGTTTCTTCAAAAAACAAATAGTTAACAAAACAACACAAATACTAGACCATCCTCATCCTCAACCTAAGCAATTGATTTATCTAAAGTCGATGTGTGTGGAAAGTGTCATGGAGGCTCATGTATAGTTAGTTCTTGAGGCACACTTAAATACTTAAAGTAACCCACTCATAGAGAAATATTGCTTGCTGAACTTTTTGCATAAGAATTTTCCCATGCAACTGAATATTCCAAACATGTTTGTTTATCCCCACACATACTGTGCATTCTCCTTCAAAATACACATTCGAACTAATTCAAACTTTTGTAATAGAACCTCAGCCTTCTGCAACAGACAAATCCATGCAGTAAAAAAAAAAACAAGATAGTAGGGAGTGGCAGAGCCAATCAGATTTCAGAAATGCTATAAAGTACGAGAAGATTTTTACTATTAGGTGATAGGTATAAAGCTCCAGGTATTTCGTCACGAAATGGCTATCTATTTTGACAAATAGATTCCATGTTACTGTGTGTCTGTTCAGTAATAAATCACAGATGATGTCCAATTATGATAGGGACAAAAAAATGCCACACAAGGTGCAGAAGAGTGTCACTGTTCTTCTGATGTGATATACTACTGTACAGACTCACAGCAACAGGGAATGTATTTGTTTTATATGATAAAGAAACAAAGAAATATCAAAGGCAACAGTGTCTGTCCTCCATGAGATCATAAATAAGAACCAATCAAAATCCGTGTGACATAAAATAAGTCAGCTTAATCAACAAATATTCCCAGACAGATGGTTGCCTGTCAATGTGCAGCTGTGAACAAATACGAACACAAATCCAGGGGTTTGTATTTATGGTGAGTTTTAAATGACTAAGAGATTTAAACTTAAACGCTTAGATTATTCACACCCAATTTCTGTACGTGATAGTTCACTTAACCTTCATCCTTATCAGCTATCACAGGAAGGAAATCCCAAGCCATAATCTAATTGTTGCATATAGCTAGACCACTCCCCTATAAGGCTTTTACTGGGCCAATAGATCAAAGTACAAAAGAAACCTATTTCAAGAAACTACAATTAAAATTAGTTACAAATTGTGACTTAGAGGAAGCACAACAATTGGGTATTTTCAAGGACAGCTAATTATGATTTGAACTGGAGGCAAATGAAACTTAACATCCAGTGAATGCAGTGTTTTCCCTCATTTTTAGTATGACAGTTAGAAAACATTTTTAAACCAGTAGAGCAGATCTTTTACCTTTTGAATTATCAAGAATAACAAGCAATTTTGGGCAGTAAAAACTAAGTGAGGAGTTACTACAGGTAGTAAATTTTACCAGATCTAGATGAGTCTTAATGATTCTGCTATCAACAATTTTCTTTTTTGAAATACTTTAGCAAACAAAGCAGAAAGAAACAATGACGAAAGTAGCATAGTAAGAATTAGTCTTCCATTTAAAGATCAAGTGGCTGCTTATGCAGTTTGGAAGCAGTTACACGATCTTAGCTATAAGATTGGCCCTACTTTAATTATTTGCAGCTAGTTTTTGTGAGCAAGAAATTGGGGCATTTTAGATCTTAAACCTAAAGAAATTAAACCGTCAATTGGTAATATATAGGCAGTGTGTTGTTTATCTTTTTACATGTGATCTGTGTGATGTAGATTATGTCGGATACACAGCCTGACACATTCATCAATGCATTGTTGGGCACAAAAATTTGGCAATTAGTAGAAATTTCTTAAAAACTCATGGTAACAACAACCTCTTGAAAGAAAACCAATTCACAGTTTTAAGAAAGTGCCAGGGCAAATTTGATTGTTTAGTATTTGAAATGCTCTTCATCAAGAATGTTAAGCCTAATTTAAATATCCAGATGGACTCCACACCTGCGAAACTTTTTGTTTAATATTTTTAATCATCTTTTTCTCACGTTACAGCTTTTAATCAGTTATTGTTTTTTAAGTATTTATAGACTGGAACTCAAAAACATATTTTGACTTGATAATGACGTTTAGCTAATGTCGAAACGTTGTTGTCTTTTAGCAATTTTTCAATCTTAAAACGATTTTAAGAAATATTTTATCACAACTATAAGTAATGCTGTTTTCTTTTTTTGTTGTTTTCATTCAGTTATACGATTCAAGGAAAATCCATTGACTCATGAATTCCATGTTAAATTACACTTGAATACTGATGTCGCATGAATCGCAAAGCGATGAGTGTGATATCGGTTTTAACAAATTTTCCCATAGAAGATCATTAGTCCATCCAATACCAAATTCTCTGAACTAACTTCACATGAATTGTATGGCAAACATGGGAGTGAAATGGTTAGAGCAGGGAGCACTAGACAACCCACCTGTGGCATTAACATCAACTTCACCTTGGTCCAATAAATCTCTGACAGATATAAAGTTACCTTAAGTAAAGAAAGAAAAGAAAAACAAAGATTTCAGGGGGTTTAGATGACAACAAATAGTAAGAGTTGATATACACGGTATCTGTCATTCTATATACAGAGCTAATTGTTTTCCCACTAACAGAGGGGGAGGGGGAATTACAAGGAAATGTTACAGTAACATTATCTAAAATGCTTTGTATTCAATTTTGAGTGATATTTAGTTTACCCTTAACCTCCCTTGAAAGACCAAGACAGAATTTCTCTTTACAACATCAATACAATATCAAGGAGATAAGTGATGAGAATAAAGGAAAATATCAATTAGGGGATTATATTTAGTAGTTGATCTAATACCAAATTCTCCAAATTAACATCATAATAAATGTATTGCAGACAGTAAGGAGAATCACTAATGAGATCTAGCTTGGGAATGGAAGGATTGAGAAGTTTGTATTCAATAATATAGAGTACATTCCAACTGAGTGTTGTGAAACTCCAAACAATTATCATAACAGTGAATCCAAGCAAAGGAAAAGATCCTGACAGGTGTAAAAGAAAAAAAAAGACTTACAGATGTGAATGTACATACCATTCCTTGCTGTTTCAATAATACTTGGTTTAACAAACTTTTGACCTGAAACAGTAACCAGAAATATATAAGAGTGAGATTGCTTCCTTTCGTAGCTACGCAGGTGAAGATGAGAGAGATCTCTGTTTACAGTAGTAACGAAGGGGTGATTAATAAGCATGCAGAAGTGAAAATAAAGCCTGAAAAAAATTCAGGCCTGTATAAAGGAGTTAAACCCATAACCTCTGCAATACTGGTGCAGTGTTCTACCAGCTGAGCTACCAAGCCAGCTGAGAGCTGGTCATTTTGTTGATTCGTTTTAAACCATCAAGTGATGAAGGATCAACTGTGAATATATGAATATAGTTATATAATTGAACTGTGGATTAATAAATGGATATGAAAGTGACAGGAAGCAAGCCAAAGTTATTACCCTTTAACAACCAGAAGTGATTAACATGTAACTTCTCCCCATAATATCCATACATGATCCAACAAACTGGTCATGAGAATACTCAAACTTATCACACAGAAATGGTCATCTTAATCTACCACCATTATAACTATTTTACAAAAAAATGTGGAGCAACTAGAGAAAAGAAGTAGCAATCAGATCTTGCAAGTTTAAGGATTTAAGTCAGTACTCTTTCCAAGCTAAGTGGCCCATTCAGTTGCAGTTTATTACAATGTTTATGTAGCATGAAGTGACAAGGAATATTGCTAGTCCCTCCCTAACATTTCATCATCCCCCTCCCCTGAACATTCACCAATACCCATCTATACTCCTGGGTGGGGTGGAGAGAGGCACGGTAAGAGTAAGGTGTTTTCCCCAAGAAAACAGCACAAGCCTGGAACTCTTTAACTGGACTCCAATACGTCTACCTTAACCCTATACAACCTACCATGAGTATGCATATTCTCCATACTGTTCTCTATACATTTTCTATGGTGATAACATGGAGAATTTGATTAACAATCAAGAGCTTGAGATAGAATGAATGTATGAAGTTCATATATTTTGAACTGCATTATTAGATACGTATGATGCACGATCCTCGCAGTAGATAGTGCTATTTATGCAATAGCAAAAATCAGACTTGAAAAAAATCAGGCCTGTTCGGGACTCGAACCACTGACCTCCGCGATACTAGTGCAGCGCTCTACCAATTGAGCTAACAAGCCAACTGGGAGCAGGCCGTTAAGTTGATTCGT